TCATAAGTGGTAGCACCGGGGACGGCGCTAAAAGTACAAGGGGGCTAATTCAAAGTACAAAAGTGGCGCCCCACCGGTACCGAGGGATAAACCACTATCGTATTACAGTACTGTTGCCGTGTTGTAGCAAAACAAAGCAAGTGCGAAATCCCTATCATTTTTCTTCATATGATTCATTTAGTTTTTATGAGGGGTTTATGAAAGAATATGGGTTTTCCTGAAATAAAAAAAGTAACATATTTGTTTCCGGTGTATTTAGTGCCTCCCATATATTTTTAATCCAACCCTAAATGTCCTCTTAGTGCTAACATATGCGCTCTTTCCGTTACTAAATCTGAATTTGTATGGTGGAGGAATCCAAATGTTGTGGGCCCACAAATTGGATATTTCGACATGACTAAAGTGTAATGGATCATATGGTTAACATTTTTTGTAGGTAGCGACCATTTTTGATGGCATTCCGTTTAAACCTGCAAAACGAGTAAGGTCAATTATGTGGTCGTGCGTTTGGAGAGATTGAGTCTTCAGCTTAATTTAAGGCTCAGTCTAAAAGGATTGGCTGCGTCGGCAAATTCGTGTCTTTGTAGCAAATTATAATGCGACTAAATACTTCCATATCATGCTCAAGTGTTCATTTTCAGCCAGTTTTTCTCGATGTATATTTGTATAAATTTGGTATTTTAATATGATCATGTTAATTTCCGCGAGATGGTTATTTTGACATTTCAATTTCCCTGCACTGAGCAGCTCGCCTCTAAATGCTTGGAATTCGCTAGCACTTTAGCTAGAGCTAGTTGGGGTTACTCCCAAATTTTTGTCGCAAATTAATCTCAAAATGACTGTTTTTTATTTCAACAGGCATGCGAAAGAGAACCGCGGACCAAGAGGCGGAATATACCTGACTGTTATATGATTATTATACAGCGTTGGACTAAGATTGAGACGCTCCTATCGGGAATCATATCAGACACTATTGGTAGGTTACACTTGAAGGGGTCATACGCGCTCAGTGTGCCGAAGGCATTTCACTTTGTATTGCCATGTGCAATGCAATGACCAAGATTCATCGGTTTTTACAACTGTGTTCCTATTGATAACTGCACCACTATAAAATTAAACTGTGGAACTTTTGTTCTGGTTACATCAAAGTATAGTTTGTGTATTTGACAAATAAGATAGTTATCTACTGACTTCTTCCCCATGGTAAGAGTAGTTTGTTTCATTCGATCGTAGGTTCTGGTGGATGGACGTTTTCCATCCTTTTTCGAACTTCCAAGTGCTGTAAGACAATTTGGATTAGGACTCTGAAAACCTAAGCTGTATCACTTAATTTTGTTTCATATGCCGGGGCCCAAGATTGTTGCTTGTCATAGTAAAGATACTTGTATTTGACAGGATAATCCCATATTAATGGAAAAAATCTAAATATCGGTAGTAAATGCTATGTGCATACCGAGCTGCAGCCTATCGCTTTTTACATGAGTAGATGTAAACCACTGAAACAACGTATTCAGTTAGTCCACAAGGGCCATGCTTTGAGGGCCATTTGAAGCCATCAGATGGCTTTAGTCGTTTGCACGAGGTGCTAATGGCAGTTAACCTCTTAACTTTTGTTGGTGCCATAATCTAAGGGTATTACTGATCCGTATTTGCATTCCGGCTTTCGATTTCAATTTCTCCACACTGTTTTATGCCACAGTGAATTCGCAAACGCCTACATAAATAGTTTCAGTCACTTCGCTTATCACATTACGGCAGCATCTAATTTAATGTCACCGTGTTGTAAAACGTTAAGCTTCGCAATATTTTGACAGCATAATGTATGAAAAAAGGAAGTTCATAGGTAGCTGGGGTGAAAATTTTACTGATCTACTAAAAGTTGTAATAAAAATCTAAATAGGGTGTTTGAGGTTTTCAGTCCTCATTTCGGAAATGTCTTGTGGCGGCCCACGTGAATAAGTGTGCAATTAATGAATAAAAGTACAGATTTACTATCTGGTGTTGAAATTGTTGTTGGGAAAATATGTCGAAAGTTCATGACGGTGAAGGAAATTGTCTGAAAATGGTTTTGCGCTGTAAGTAAGTAAACCAATACAAATAATTTTCCATTTTTTAGTTCAAGATGACTCAACTGAGCTTGACGACCTTAATACATCCCGAAGGGCAGCACAGGGTCTGCTTCTAGGTGCGCAGCAGAAAATGACCGATCTGGTGCATGCAGAGAAGCTGCGTTACTTTGCGGACAACCTGAAGGAGGATTGGGTCGACGTCGACAGCAGCAATACGAAACACAAAACCCTCCTAGAATGGATGAAAGCCTCGGATGCAAAGTTAATTAACTACGACAAACTGGCTGTTCAGGGCCGCAAGGAAGGTGGTAAACCGTGCAACATTGGTCAGCATTTAACATTTCCAGATATTCTTCGCTAATTTCTTACAGTGTAATGCTATTTTACGGGGCGTTTTCACATAATTTTTAATTCAAGTACTACCTTCTTTACTCTATTTAAGCGAGACGAGTCACATTCGGGTTCAAATGTTCAATTTTAAAACTTTCGATACGTTTTTTCAAATATTCATTTTGACTAGTTTAGCGACGCGTTTATTCGATTTCTTGAAAGTAAGCCACTGACCAAATAACAATTTATTTTCAGTAATTACTACTGGGTCAAGGCTTCCATTAGTGTTTCATTTGTCAGGAATGTAGTTATTGTGGATAATTGTTCATTTCATATTATAGGTCTCAGATGGATTAATGTCCTAGATATTACGAATTAATAACTCCCTGCTAGGAAGGTGGATTTTAGACACGAAATTAACGTTGTGTGTTATTGATGATTCGCACATTTCTGATACCTCATTAAATGGGAACCTCGAGCCCTGATTTGCGTTTCATTAATATCGTGTTTGTGTAGTTGTTTTTTTTGAGACTTCTAAATTTTTATGAATGTCGTGTGTTGGACCCAGAGTTTCGTAACCATTTTAGCTTCCTTTCATAATTCATTTTGTTGCAGTGGTTTATCGTTTGCTCGGTTTTGGGAGTAAGGATGGTTTTTTCTTTTCATTTTAACAATCATATATATTTGCATAAAGTGCAGAACTCCATGGTGTGGCGCTCAAAGATTGCTTCTTCCTCCTTCGACAAGACCCCGAAACTGGGAAATTCTCTCTTTATCGCGATACAAATATGGTGAGAAATTCCTTCAGGATCGTCTAAAATAGTGTAAAACGTTATGGGCGAAAATTTACTTCCCATTCCCTTTTTTATTCACATGTTCGCATTAGTGTGAAATATTCTCACAAAATTATTTTAATTTATTACTGCATAAGTTACACTAATATTAATGTGTATTGTGGCTGACAGAAATATCGACACTTCCTGTCGCGTAGTTTACACTCTATCATAACCCTTCGTCGAATTTTGGAAAATGATATTTAAGGATATGGCCATTCCAATGGATAAAGACGTTGGATCAATTTTTGATGATAATCTAGCAAAAAAGGACTAGATTTGAGTTGGAAATAGCGTTAACTAATAACTTAATCTCTCGATCGTTGCTTCAAAAGAATGTTTATTTTTTCTACTTTTGTCTTACTAAAATGACGCTCCTTTTTGGTAATAATTGTTTCTAAGTCATACGAACAGCGATGAACATTACTCCTTAGTTCACTTTTAATTTCTAAACTTGTTTTACCAAAGAAAACTCTTAAAAATTAAGTGAGGGAATTAGAGGCAAGTTCTCATTTATTGCTATCGCAACGCAGCCTCCTATTCTCATATGGACCAAGCACTTCGGGTACTTCCGCGATCAAGCCGGTTCACCGCTTACGTTCATCATTCTCATGGACTCAAAGAACGCTGCGCCGACTTTGAGCAAATTCGTCTGCTCCACACATGACGAGGTCGCTCGGTGGCAAAAGGTATTCACAGAAGGATTTGACAATTTCGGCAAAGTAGACGAGCCAGAAGTGGAGAGTATGCGTAAGCTGTCAGCTTGCCTATTTACCCGTATGAATACCTCTGTTAGTCAATTTTGGCTGATATCAACTGGAGCTTCTGTTACTTTGGTGCAGCCGAACTTTTTTCTTTGCCACTATTTTGCGATGTTCATTAATTAAAGATATGATTTTGTGTTAACCGGTTTTCCCGCTTAGAAGCAAGCTTGAATTTTTGAATATCAAGGCGCTTAGATCATTTGCTTTTATATAATTTCATTTTATAGTTCATCTGAAAATTATATACTTCGAAGGTATCCTGTGCTTGTGCTATTCATTTTCAGTGTTGATGCTTGTTCTCTCTAAAACAACCATTTTAAAGTTTATATTGAGCCGTAGGAAGGTTGTTCGATTATTGTTGGCAAAGCTATTAAGGATGACAGATAACATCTCCGAAGGCGATGTTATTTTATTAATAATACAAATATGCCTTTGAACATGCTCATAAATGTTTTTGTAGTGCTGCAAAAGAATACTAGAGTGCTTGAAGCAGCAGAAGAACGCAGGAAGCGACAGGAGGAGAAATTGGAGTTAATAAGCCAGCTAACTACCGATATATTCGCTCAATGGGATGTTCGAAATACGGTCTTTAGGACGCTCTTCGTTGACGAGGGTCTTACCACATCAGCGTCGCGGTCAAATAGCGGATGTTCAACGAACAGGGAACAGCAACTAAATCGACGCTCTTTGACCAGCCAATCGGACATCCAACAGGTTGATGGTGAACAGATGAGAGTGCGTAGTCTTCATGAGAGATTCATGAAAAGTGGTGCGTTTAGAGGCTCTGAATGTTTTCCACCCTCTCAAACCGCTTCAACGCAAAGATTAGTCTTATTGCTGATAGCTCTTCCATAGAGTTAACCGTTATCTTTCCACCAAAAGCTTTATTCAATTTATTAATCTCGTAGGCAACGGCCTAAATCATAATCTATAAGGTGTTTTGCTGGCTGCTTTCTCCAAATATGGTACAATTACCGTGTGAAATGATTGAAATTTCTCTGTTTAGAGTCATCACACCGTTTTCTTGGTACGAACTTCCTCTCTTACATTTGAGCTAAAAATTTTGCCGCGTTTGCTTTTTGATGATCAATGAGCTGAGATCGTTGGCGTCGTATCCAGTTGCTAGTTAACAAATCAAGATTGCCATCGTTATCAGTGATCTTCAAAGCACATCAAACGAACTTCCCCATTTTAGTTATGATGAGATGCATCGCAAAGTACAGATTCAAATTTTACATCTTGATAGTAAGCAAGTAATCAGGTGCTCTTTAACGTTGTACCGCGCCCAGCATGAAATTGTAGTGCGGATGACTTCGAGTCCATTTTTGTTTTCTTTTTTAAAGTCATGCGCCTGGCTAACTTATGCGGTGAGGCGGACTCTACGTGCCTGAGTCGCAGCGCCTCCGATGCTGCCGATCGTCGCCCTTCTTGCTCCAGCATCACGACGCCGACGCCCGACACCAGCGGTGGCACCGACTCTTCCAAAAGTAAACCGCTTTTTCGTCATTCTGTCCTCAGTAGGATTGTGTGGCTTCTTGTCGTTCTCAAGTAAAATTAACCATTTATTCAATGCACTACCCCGTACTGTCTTGACACAGCGTAGAAGTTGTGGTACATTAGTCCTTGTGGCTGACTTGGACGAATGATTTATTGAAAATATCAATTGTAAGACTAAAGCAGCGTTTTCTGTTCTTGTGTTTTTTATCAACATTTAAGTGTTTTTGATACGGTATTCTTACCTATTTTCGAACACAGGACGATGTTCTTTTGTAGAATGGAACTGTAAAGACTACAAGATCACCTGCATCTTAATGGTTTTCTTCTGGACCTCTTAAGATGGTTGCATTTAGATATCTGTACCATCGGCTTATTTGGGTCCTAGGGCCTTGTCTTTTACTGAACGGCCCTCGTTATGATAACTACTGAACTGGCTTATGCATGTGGCATTATGCCAACGCGTCAATGCCTTAGGTTTCTGAGCGACTTAATTCACCTTGTAGAATGCCTATTTAAACCAATCATTCCCCGTTGAAGTTCACCAGCCAAATAATTTAATATAACCTACTTCATCCTTCTATAGTATGTCAGTTGTTTTCAATTGGAAACATTCTAACTACACTTAATTTACACCATAAATGCCTATGATTTATGAAAATTATTCACGCCTCTAAGCAGTTTTCCTCTCCAAATATCGATTCGTTGAATTATTTTTTTTTTCCAAAGTAGTCGTCACCGTGATCTCTTTCTATAGTCAGGTCGCCTTCTAAGATTCATGAAATTATGCATGAAGCTGCTTCATCAAACGGATTGGAATTTCCCTATTAACAGCAAATGCCTATTCTTACCCCACCTACAGAGCGCCCTGAAAAAGAAGGCGTTACCTCTCGAATTAAACCCAAGGTAGGCGGTTCTATACCTGTGGAGCATTATGCTGTAAGTGCATGAGTTTCAATTTTGAATTTACTCTGCGCAGAGTCATCACATGAAGTCGAGTCAGCGCAATAGTATGGAGGTAAATATCACACTCACCGTACGCATGTTTTCGTCTCGCGTCAACATATCTACTGAAGAAAACGAATCGTTTCATCTAACCCCACACAACATCATTTTATTTAACCCGGTCACTCACAATCTATTTATCCACACCAAACTATGAATCAAAACAAATCATGTGCAAACACCAATGCGTCACTTTCATTTACTGCACAATATTCATTAATACTTGATACGTATACAGGACTGAATAAGTACAACTTCATTCAGATAATGACGCTGAGCCAGAAATTTTGTGAATATTGTTTAAGGGCCTTAAATTCACCGGTGGAGATTACGGTCCCTCGGTTACACATCATAATATGTTCTGCTTTACAGTATTTAGAACCACGGGTATGCTTATAACAAAGATTTTCTACTCCTATTTAAATCATTATAGGCAATGCTTTGTCCAAACTTAGGGTGGATTAATTGTTTACAGCATACCAGTTTTGTAGGTTCTACTGACCTTTTCATTTAGGTTAACTTGTTTAAATTGCGTTAAAACACCTTTGTTAGGGTAAACAGAGATTAAATTAGTGGATCAGAGTCTCATTCACCGTTTGTTGATGAGTGTTTAGAAATTCTTCTTACATCTACTTTGTTTAAAAATGCCGGTTCGGTCAAATACCTTGCGGGTTGTTTTGTTTAATCTGCCTAAATAAGAACCTTAATGAATATCGTATGGATCAGATATCGAGATGCATTTATTCATTACCTTGTGCTTACCGCTTGCAATATCCTTACCGCAATGCTAGCAGATTGATTGATCCTGGTGAGTGCTTAGTGTCGCTTTATTATTGTGGATAACATCTACCTGTTTTGAGGAAAAGGATCCCTAAAGGTTTTGTATGTTTCATTCGCATTAAGTCCCAAAACCGGCTTTCCAATCTGTTGCGAACGGGTAGTCGCCGTCGTGCCGATGGCTCCGCAAGTCTTGCCGCCTCCACGGACTTTCAGCGGGACTACCTGTCCTCCGATCTAGACCGTTCCGAGGGCACTTCTGAGTCCTCCCTAACGTGTCTCGCTACTCCTGCCCTCCTCATAGCGGACATCCAGGAGCTCGCTCGCTCCCTTCTTGTGCGTCCTCATGGTCCCTTTGTAGGCTTTTCAAAAGAGTGGGATGAGGTGGGAGCTTCAGATTGCGTTCCGTAGAACGAATGGAGGCCTGAATGACTATTTATGCAAATGTTCATATCTCATTTTTCAAGCAAATTCAAGATGACTTTGCTGTTCAGTGTTTTGGTTAGTTAACTTTACCATTTAATCGGGTTCAGTGAATAGGTCAACCAATAATTGTGCTATTTTTTTCAGAGAAATAACTAGACAGTTGTATAGTAGGTGAAACATTCGCTTGCAAGTCAATCAAGCCATTTCGGTTTGTTGTTATCAAGTAACCGCTTTCCTTCGCCATCTAGGAAAACTACGATGGACAGCATATACGCTGTTTGGAGTTGGAAAAAGATAATCTCCGTCTAAAAACCGAAGTCGAAATAACTGGAGGAGTAAGCTATCACTGTGTATTTTCAAGTATCTGTGTTATCTATCCAAGTAGTTTTGTTGATTTACATTGAGACTTGTTCATTGGATAAGATTAAGCAACAGCCGACTACCACTGTCAAATTCCGCATAAATTGCTTATGAGATATTGTTTCATTGACCTTATTGTTTCCGTTCCCCAAATCGGTGCTTTTTTCAGCAAACTTCAATCAATATGAAACGCGAGTTGGAGTGTCTGCGGTCCCTTCAAAAGAAGACTGAGGATGAACAAAATGCGTGGAACTCCCACAAACAGAAAGAGGAGGCACGGCTTGAGCGAGAGGATCAGAAATTAAAGAACCTGGCTAAAGATCTTGGGGAGAAGCAAAAGCAATATGAAGAGGATAGTAGAACTTTGCAGGAGCTTATTGACCTGCATGCTCGTCGTGGTGTCGACGTGAGTCGACTGAGAGGGCACGGTAAGTTAATCACCCAGTCTTCTTGCTAATCAACTGCAGCGCCGTCACGTTTCACAAGTCACTTGCCCATTCTTCTAGGATCGAACACCAATTTGTACGCCACCCCGCAGCCGGAGTTTGGCAGGAATCTTAACTCCTACCTCTCTCATGGTCCGTCCTCTCGAAGCGAAGGAGATATGGTGAGCATACATTCTCCCACTTGTATGCAGTGGGACGACTCATAAATTATATCATATTTTATGTGATTTAACTGATAATCATGTAACTTTTGGAAAGTTCTAGGAATTATATGTCTGATTGTATAGTATTCCGAAGTTAACATTGCAAATTTGTCATTTTTTCCAAAAGCCTCTGCTTATTAGCATATAGAGAAAGGCAGTGCCTTCCTCAAAAAATTGTTTTGCAGTCGTGTCTAATGCATACACCTTGACAGCACCTGTGGAGAAGTTCACAGACAATGATATAAACAAAATTTGAACATTAACCGCTTGCATTGACTAATCCTTGGGGTCACCTTGACTGCGTAGTGCATTCCCAGATGTCCCCATCTTTCTTTTTACCACCCTATTAACTGGGAATGTGGAGTTCCCTCTGATCCTTGTCAATTAGAAATTTCACAATCATTATCTCAGCCAAAGCTGCAATATCACTAGCCACCATTTACACGCACCATGCATGCATTATAACGCTGGCCAGTCGCAATGAGGTGTACCACTTACCTATGCAATAAAGTTAACGCCTCTGCATTGTTCTTTAGCTCCTTCCTAGATGCTTACAAGCTTATACAGAAAAGGTACTCCTCCTACCCAGCTTAGTGACAGCTTGTTTACTTTCGAAAAGGTTACGTGCCCATCATTCACATCGCTAACACTTTTATTATTTATCCTGCGGCTCAAATTCCGCCTAGTTACCAAGCTTATATTTTATTTAAACTGAAGGCTTCGTTTTTATTGCTTCAATACGACCAACCTAAAGACAGGCATGATTTTACTCCTTAATTCTTCATAGCTCATGCTATTTAGGGTCACAGAGGTTATTTTCTCGCGCCTACGTCGAAGGTAACTTTGTATTACTCATTTTTTAAGCAATCTTTAACGCGTCCTCAACCTTTGACATGATTAGCAATTTATTCGACTTCCTTCGAGTCGCATTTACTTAATGGAATTGGAGGCTCCATTAGTGAATGGGGGGGAATCGCAAATAATTTTGTTCATAAACGTGAAAAATTATGCTAAAATGAGGAAATAGTCAAAGCAATAAGGTTTTCGGCTCATTTGGGCGCTAGTGGAAGGATAATTGGAGGATATAAGATTGAGCAATATTCATTCGCCAAAGTGGATGAAATTGTTTGCAGTAACATCAGAGTGCTTAGATCTAATGCTAAGCAAATGCTACCTGATCCTTTCTGTACTGCCTCTGACAAGTATTTTTGACCAGATAATGTGTTTGTGCCGTGTTGAGATGTGATAGTACTAACCCTTTATGCCAGATCGTACTCACATTTCGATGGTTCATGCTCATATCATTAATATTGTTTACAGGATCCAGGAGAAAGGCGGACTGTGGACCGCGCTAGTCTTCCGCCTTCAACAAAGACCCGTGCTACTTCCAACGAAAGTTCACGCAGAAGGCACGGGAACTATCCCCTGAACCTTCATAATTATCCGGTGTGTACCAGGAAATAGAAGAAATATCCCATGGTGTAGAATATTTTGGTTATTAAATGCTCCACATATCTTAAAACTAGCCACTTTTCCGAGTGGAAGCGTCCCCGGGTCTTTGTAATGTTGACCGCTTTCGTTCAATTATCTTTGATCCTTGTGTTGCCTAGTGCTTAAACTCTACATAATTTTGAGTTATCGTACGGCCCGTTTTTTGTGTGCGAAAACAACCGCAATCATAGGAAAATCACGTTCCATTCGTAATCAGGTTCTATTTATGATATTGAAATGCTTTTCCCAAATGACCAGTGTTTTTTTGATTTAGACTGAGCATAGCTACTATTCAAACACTGTTCCGTCGAGACCTCCAGCTGGCCCGCATTCGGTCGTAGAGTCACAGAGACACATGAGCACGACAAGCTCAACACTCGGCAGTCTTCCCGCAAAACTTGCCTCCAAGTCACGAAGCTCCAAAAGCTATCTGCGGCACTAGCACCGCCTACTGCCTCCCTCTCACCCCACTCAGTCCTCGCTCACCTCGCACTGAACGATAACCCAAGGTCCGACTTGCGCCTTCTCGATTATGGAAAGTTACAGCCCTTGTCAAAACTGCTGTTCTCTATCCCTTCTTTGCCATGCTCAAATGTTATCTTTTGCTACTTTGCGGCTCTAAAATACGCAAAATGTTTAGCGTACCAATACAAATACGACGTTGGGAAGCAGGACTATCCCACTGAACCCTAGTGAATGGTGGAGGTGAAATGCTGGAGATAACTCTGTACCTTTTGCATTAACATTCGGTGGTTAAACAACCTATTCAATTTTCGGACACTTTTGTATACGAATGCAAAGTTAAATGTACAGAAATATGAAGAAATGAATGGGTCATATCTCGGTCAAGGAACAACCACCGATTTAGTTGTAGTGTCGGGGGCTGTGGAGTGTGATTCCAAGCAGATAGGTTCAGGAAGTGCGATTTTCTCCCCGGGTAGGGCATTCGCCGCCTCCACAAGCTCGGCTGGAACGTTTTCATTAAAATCAGTTGTAAAGGAGGCGTGAATTAGCATAGGATGGCGTCTAAGCCACGCGCATATTTTTAAGTACTATGGTAATGCAGAACCCATAACGCAAGGCTTAACAATTCACCTTGAAATTAGCTTTTTTTTCCCGTTAGACTCAAAGAAAAAAGGCTTGGAGGATTGGGTTCCACCTCCACAGCAACGAATGCGAATTAAGGCTTACCGAGTGTTATTGGTCTCGCAGGATGCATGTTAGAGAAGAGGATGGAGAACTTTTCAAGGTTTAAAATTTTACACACAGTCTGAGCGGCGCAGCACAATTCATCCTGCAGAGAAACAGACAGGTTACGGTGTACTGCAAGATCAATGAATGGTGAAATGGACCACGAGGATGCTACAAGATTAAAAATTATTGGAGGAAAATTCGAAAAAAACACTTTGAAAGAATTGAAAAATACAGAAAAATCGAACAAATTCTAATGGGTATCAGCTTTGTTTTTTCAAACAAAAACGCAATATCCAATCGAATTTTTGTTTATGAGTCCCCATGGCCCATAAGTGTGCTCAAAATCGACATTTAAGGATTTTGGAGGCCTACCTGCTGAATGAGATTTAAGGAAACATGAACTCGCCGATTCTGTGGTTCACAGGGGTCGATAATTCCAGTGCTGCCTGGGAGAAACAGGCCAGCAGCTAGGACTTGAATGACTCGTCTAAAAGTAAAATTTGGTGAGTGGCCATTTCGAGTGTTTTCACATGAACCAAAAGTATCGCAGTACAAGTAAACTTGTGTTAATGTTCAAAATGAACTAATGATTAACAGTTCATCACTGTGCTACGCATGCCTCTAGGACAATTAATTCGGGGGACTAACTTACCGGAAAGCGACAGAAAGTGGAAGGGGAGCATTCATGGGGTTGTGCATGACCGCATGAAAGGCCTAAGAAAAAATGAGGGCACGTAAGCACCATTGTTCGTAAAGGAGAGTGATGCGAAAATATTGGTATAAAAATGCATCAGCAACAACGAATCAAATAATGCTCCCAAAATCTTGTCAAACTGGACGGAACACTGTTTGAAAAGCGCAAAAAAAGGCCTATGGTTAGTATTTTTGACAGCGCTTACGAGGAGATCCACTTGCCAGGGGGTGAGGTGATTAAAGCCAACAAATCTTCGTCTTAAATCCTTCAATAAGCGTATGAGTGCTTTGACGCTGGTCAAAAGTAAAAAATAAAATAGGATTAACACAACAAATTAGGCAAGATTTCATACCATATTAAAGCACTGTCAAGAACGGAAGGAAGAGTAAAAGCCTTTGTTTACATGGTACTTGAAATAAAACTTAGAAACGAAAAGTGGGGGCGTTAATTAAGTATGACAGTAATGATATGGCATAAGCAACACTTATTTTGGTAGAGACAACCGCAGAGTTGGTAGCCTGCTTTTTAAAAAGATGGAAGGTGTGAACCACAGACAAATTTGTAGAATTTATCGTTCATTGTTTAGAATGAAAGCTTGAACTTTTTTTCCACCAGTAAGCATCCTACCAATGGAGTGGCCACTGACCGTGTGAGAAGGGTGTGAGACACGAGCACTTCAGCTTACTTCGCGTGCGCGGCCCTTTCCTCGGCCCAGCGGGCATGGACGATGGCGGCGTGAGCAACGTGCTGGTCCGGTGGGCTTACTATCACCAAAAAGTAAAAAATGTGATCCACTTTACATAATGCCTCAAAAAAGATTCACGTGCAAAGGGAACTCAACAAGCTATATGGCATAGACAGCCTGCGGATCCCTTAGGAAACAACGGTAACAATCCTATTCGAGTCCAAAACCTATCGAATATAAATTCAGTTACGAAACAGGAGAGTAAATAATGAGAATCTATAGTGATATCAAATAATTTGGCGTCAATAAAAAAGCTTAATGGCTTTGCTAAAATAAAAAAAAATCGATGCAATTTAGGACATTGACAAGCAAATATTTTATATAAAGAAGGATTTAAGAAGTCCATGTCCACAAATTCGACTTATTACCCACAAATCAAATGTACGGGAGGTGCTACTGGGTTAGTTTATGCTCTGGTAAACGGAATATGAAACGAAAACGGCCTCCAATAACCAAAATGGGACCATTTTGGGAAGGCAAATACATTTAGATTGAGTTAGTTCTAAGTGAAATAAAAATTTGGTTATTCTCTTAAGTTGAGACTAGGGAAACCGTGTACTTCCATAAAAAAGCCGTGAAAAAATAGTTGTTAAACGCAAAATCCCCAAGTGTTCGCAAAAACAACTTACTATGCAGTCCAGTTTCTGTATTGCTTATTGCACTAAAATTTTGTACAGCAAACGCCACACGAATGCAGACACCGAGGTACTCAAGGTCAAAACCGTAGGGCTGATGAATGATTTCAAGAGGTTCCTCGGGTTCTTCGATCTCTTTGTCCAAAAATTTCTGCTTTAGCAGGAGGCTAATGTTCCTAGCCATCTCAAAAGTGGGCGAATCGCGTAGCAGAACGACAACATCTGCCAAGCAATGTCCCGCCAACATCGTACCCTCTTTGAAGGAGCCAACCACCCGGATTTCTTCAATTTGCTAAATTAGAGCGTGAACACTGGGAACAACTAGCAAAGACACATAATAGTGGCATTTGAAGTACCAAAGTATGAAATTTCATCAAAAGAAGTGTACAGGAAATCTCATAAACTAAATACCAAAGTTAACTCATAAGGTTGAACAAAATTAGTGTTTTTAGCCCCAATTACTAAAGGGGACGACATGCCAGAAATCAACAAATGCATACCTTTGTCTAATCGCAAGTTAGGATAGGACTTAGCGCAAGCTTAGTGATTTGAATTTTTAAATAACTACTGAATATGCTAACATTACATTGAAATACTCACTCCGATTTGAGAGTGCCCTTTTTCAAGAGCAATTGACTCCAAATATTCCACGACTTTGGCTACCAAAGTCGCGACAGCCTGTTGTTCGCCAAGCGAGGGAGTTAATTGTGAATGAGAATCCATTAGAAGCTTCGAGAGCCTCTCATTCTCTTGGGGAACTTCAGCTCCAGGAAAAATTGCTGAACAGCAAATAGGGTCGAAGGGCATATGCGCCGTGTAGGAATTCGGGCGCATCCTAACTCAAGAATGGTGCATCAGAAAAAAACATATATTGATTTCAAGCAATGTACACAAATGAAATAGCTAGTTTTCTATAGTCACCTACCCTCGATACTGAGACAAATATGAAGATTTTTGGAACGGAATCCTCGGCATCTAAAGGGTGAGCTTAAAGCTCGAAGTCAATGATAGCGAATTTCGAACAGAGACTAAGCTTATTGACAAATATGCGACACGCGCGAATCATAAGACGCGCAAAATGTAGGGATAATGTTAACAAGCGTGAACATTGGTGTAGACAGAAGCGATACAAAATAAAGTGAATTTGTAGTAAAACAGCTTTCATGATCTTTCAATCTATTAATGAGAAACCAGGCAAATGAGGCTGCCATTTTTAGTAGTGGTTGTAAATGCACTTACTTTGGTGTTTTTCAAAACAATATGATAGTAATGACATATAACAAAAAGCAATTGAAATTCAAACAATTTCCTCGCTTAATTAGAAAGTCATCACTAAGCAGAGAAATGATCTAGCATTCGTGCATTAATAAAAATAGCATCACGAAGGCTATAAATTCATGCAAACAAAAAAGTAGAATTTATTTTATCGGATTAAATAACATCTGCAACAAGTTGGAGGTTGAATGAAATCGCAATTGAACGAACTCAACAAATAAAAGCCGAACTTTACACAACACCCTCAGCTACGAGCGATAAAAGGCACCACGACGCCTATATCCTAAATAGATATACCATGCCTAATAACAAAGAACTAGCGTTTTAATACTGTTTTAACATGATCATCAACTTAGTCATATAATGAGAAGCTAGAGGAAGCAGCAACCTCTTACTAAAACTTTTCAACTATAGTTTTTTATGATCCCGCGAGGATTTTTGAAAGACGATTTGCAATTATGTTGTCGTAACTGAGTTACGATGATTGTACTGGTGTATGATTCACTACTGTGGGTTTGTGGCGATATGAACTTCTGTCCTTCTGGGTTTTTAAGCACACGAACACTTTAGTCTTCATAGGCACCATTGCCGTGCTGCGGTACGTTTATTTGGCAATCTTAGGTGTTTTTGTGTTTGTCTAACACAGAGTTTCTCTTTTCCACTTCTGGTTTTGTTTTCTTGGGACGAGAAGAGTGAGTAGAGGACGACCTCTTTTGTTTGGGCAGTAATGTGGGCCTTTACAGACCGGGGATTAAAGGAGATCTAGGTCCTTTTCCCCCTCGTGAGTCAAAGACGCCAATTCTGTCATGTGACCGCTTCAAACTTACCGCCTCGCACCAAAAAGTATGTTCAAACCGACTAATCTTGCAATATATTCTTCCGGACTTCATATTGGTAGCAGCGGCAAGTGAGCCTAGTCTAAAAGGATAAATGCTCTGATTTCAATGAGTAAACGCTAAACCTGTGTCACGGGAGAAGGACCGCTGCTGCAGATAGCAGATAACATGATGGCTCCGAACAGGAAAGTCGAAATCGAAGGCTACCTTTAGTAATCACAGGACCTCTGCATTTCGTTAACAAATGGAGCAACACCAGTCTTTACAATCATAAAATTTCATGATAAAGATGCCTACAGCACTTATGTGAGGCTGTTAATTGCAATAACATTCCATATTTTCTTCATGTCAATGCTTGCAGAATGCAAGCTCCGTGAGACCGGTTCAAATTTTATCTTGAATTATATGGTTCTGAATTTGGGCTGATTACCTTGCAATGAATAAATCCCATTAAAAAACGTCCATATGGCAGTGTAATGTCTTCATTGGTTTGCGCTTCATGCTCCTGCTTTACGTTCTTGAATAAGAGGTATTTTTGAAGAAGGATATCTTGTATCGTTAAATGCAAGATTTTACAAGTAACCGAAGTTCTATAGGGGACTATGATTTATCTTCACCTTAGGGATCGACTATATCTGCCCAATCGTGAGGTCGGCCAAATTTGCTGGCTTGCAGCGTAAAAGGTGTATGCCAATAAACTTCTATCGCGGCAGACCATCGTGGAGTTTTGAACAGTGCGAAATCATCATACTTTTCCTCCTCTAGTATAATTTACAGAGGGCTCACAACAGAATTGCCGAAAGGCATCAGCAACTTGGGGGTCAATTGCCTTCCGACATGTGGGAAAACTCACTGCCTGATGTTGCATGTTCGCGGTTTCCAAAACACTCACTATATTTTTATGGTCGATGTGGGTGATTGACCAAGGACAGCACGCAAAATGACTCAGAAGAAAAGAGAGCCTATGTGGTGATTTCAAGCAGGTTGTGCTTCAAATCGTCTACATGGGCTTTGGGTCGTGCTACTAGCCCCCTCGTTTATTACCTATATTTGTTCTTGCATACCGTTTTGATTTATTACGACTTCGGAGAAAATTTAAGGCTCTACACACGTGTCGTGATAGTTACCAAGCCAAAGTCATGATGCAATACGGGTTAGTTTGAATGTGTCCTTGAAGAGTAGATAAAATTGGGCAGACTATTTTAATACGATGGTGGTTTATCCCTCGGTGCTGGTGAGGCGCCACTTTTGTCCCTTAAGATTAGCCTTCTTGTACCTCGCTGGGTGGGCTGGCCTTTGGGCCATATCAGTAGCCCAAACACCTTCTCTGTGGTGAATATATATTCTGCCCGAGTATTGTGTCTTCTTGCGTCTTCAGGGAAGTCGAGGGACTCTACACTATAACCTTGGTTCCCTGTGCACGAACATATTACTTAACAAGTGAAAACTACCCTTCTCCAACCATCTACTTGTTTTAAGGATATGAAAGCAATGGCGAATTGGAGAAATCTTTAACCCGTTACAATCGTATCGGGAAATAATCCTAAATTACCCAGTGGAAATTTACTAAATGCTTTTGAGGCCAATGAAAATGTATGGAATAAATTATCAAAGGTCGTACACTCAATTTTATTGTAAATTATGGTCATTTTACCGTTAGTTGAAGTCTGCTTACACTTTTGGTCGATTTGGTCTCTGTTTTAGCAGCCTAAAAAAAGGGTGATCGTTCCAGTATCCTACCTTTGATGACACATGTACACTGCTATTAATTGTCGTAACTTTAAGTACTATTATTTTTATTGGATTTATCAAATCAGAAGTAAAATCCCTGACTTGTCTGTGTTAGCTAAGTTCCTCCTTTACTCATAAGCACTACCACATAACACAACTTCAGACCATTACCTGCAACTAAAAATTTTTTCTATATTTAAATTTGGCCTACTTTAGAAATCAGTGCTTATTCTCACATACATGTCATATCTATTGTTTGTTAGTATCAATGAAAATGGTGAGCGCATTGTTTATGCCTTGGTGTCATTTTAAAATCCGGTTGTGTTGCGTGCTTGCGTCGTATGCACCATGAGCGACTCGAAGGTTTACTACCCCCCCGAGGGTCTTGCTAATGAGAGATATATTAGTTCGATAGATACATATAATGAATGGTATAGAAAATCCATTAAACAGCCAGCTGAATTTTGGACGAACATATCTTCACAGTTTCATTGGGAGGTCAAGCCTAGAGCCGAAAATGCACTTTCCTACAACTTTGACCTAAAGAAAGGGCATATATTTATTCGTTGGTTTTCCGATGGAAAGACTAATTTGTGCTATAACTGCCTTGATCGGCATGTAAAAAATGGGTTGGGATCGAAGGTTGCTTTTTTGTGGGAAGGCAATGATCCAAATGACAGGAAAACAATCACATATCAGGAATTGCTAACAGAGGTCGGTTATTTATGTTCACTTACTTGCATTTCGCACAAACTAATACATCTGTTAATTTTTTAGGTTATTGCTTTCGGTTCTACTCTTCGACGGATGGGTGTCAGTAAGGGTGATCGTGTAGCTATCTACATGCCGATGGTTATTGAACAAGTTATCGCCGTTCTGGCTTGTGCACGCATCGGTGCGATTCATTCTGTCGTGTTTGCCGGCTTCTCGGCAGAATCCTTATCAGAACGCCTGATGGCTGCAGGGTATATGTTTTAAAATTTACTTTAAATTAATTTAGATCTCGTGTGTTAGTTACTTGTGATGGAGCTTGGCGTGGGACAAAACTTATCGATTTGATGAAGGTTGCCAACGAGGCGATGGATATATGTGAATCAAAGTCTCGCCCACTTGAACATTGTATTGTTTTGCGCCACTTAACGCCGGAGAAAAGAGTTGGCGCACCCGTACCCGTTTCCGATTGTCCTGGTATTCGTCCGGTTCAAAAGTGAGTTAATTCTAGTGCTTCTATCACTTTTTTTCATTTCTATTAAGTCGGTCGATGAAAACTGGCTAGAACGCTTTTAGCAATTGGTTTACTGCCAAATGCTAGTTCTCAAGCATGTTCGGTGTAGACATTATTGTGAAATCATAGTTTCTTCTACCATAGGCCCGGTTGACATAAAAAAGTTATGTAGAAGAATCTGGTAATGCATTCAGCTTGTGCAGCGACGGTTTTTAGTGCTCATTAATGACGCTCCTTCATGCACTTTCAGCTTCTCCATCCGCATGCGTGCAGATCGTGACGTTTGGTGGGATGAGGCAGTTCCTCCCGTTGAAACCGAATGTCCAGTTGAGTGGATGGATGCGGAAGATGAACTCTTCATCCTTTATTCTAGTGGGAGCACTGGTCGACCCAAGGGCCTCCTGCACACCACCGGCGGCTACATGGTGTACGCAGCAACGACTGCGAAGTATGTATTTGACCTCCATCCCGACGATGTGTACTGGTGCACTGCAGACATTGGATGGATCACTGGTAAATGCGTATTAATTGTATCATGTTTTGCTTAAACTAGAAGCTTATAAGTACTGTAAAAGCTGCTAGAATTAAGAGCGCGGAATAGGAAGCAATGTTCACCTCGGCCTATTTTGGTGTCACTTACTTGGGTATACGTCGTTAAATGTAGAATAGTTCCCAGTTGTTAATTTGGAATTTTGCTCGGTGTTTCTACCTTTGTAACCAACAAGTTCTATTTTAGTTCATATGCGGCGAAACGTAAGCCTGACTGATTTACGTTTTATTTCCTCATAATGTAATGTTTCAACTTACGTCCAAATAATTTGTTATTATCGAATGATGCATTTTTAAAAGCACTTTGAAGTCAGGTCACTTGCTAAATAATCTTTATGGTGGCAGAACATTAATGTGATTACCCTTGGGTTTTGTAACTGATCTTTATGAATCCGTATCGCCTTTGCTTGGTTTTCTTACAACCTCCCTCAATTTTAAAATGTTATTGGACCCAATACGTTATTGAGCAACTTTGGCAAGGTTTGAAGCTATATTGAAATTGGTATAACTAGGTCACAGCTATCTCATCTACGGTCCTCTCCTGAATGGGGTGACGAGTGTGATTTTCGAAGGACTCCCCAACTGGCCAGACTACGGCCGTTACTGGTCCATAGTGGAGCGGTATCGTGTTACCAAGTTCTACACCGCACCCACCGTCATCCGCATGCTCATCGGAGCGGGTGAGGAGCATGTTAAAAAGTACGATCGGTCCAGTCTCAAAGTAAGGTCTCTTCTATTCCTCTGCCTTAATATAATAGATAGATTCTATCTCTGTTTAAATTAAATGCATATAAACTTTTAGAACGCCCGAAAAGGGTTTAACTCATTCGCCATGTGCGTTGCCTACAGTGGTTTCTTTATATTGAAAATCTTCTATTTTTTCCTAAGTCGCAGCGCTGATACAGCATGAAATTTCTGAAATTATCTCTTGACTAAGATTATTCAAACTAAAATGCTTACAGCCAGTTCTTACGCAGGCTACAGAGAAGTCCGAAGGTATCATCTGTGAAAGTTAATTGCGGTATCTTACCCTCACAATCAAGAATGCGTAAAATTCGCACTCTACAATGACAAGAAGCGGAAATAAAATTTTGAATGAAATGCTCCCTAGGCAATTTTGGTGAGCAGTCGTGCTCCTTCAGGGGATCGTTTATTTGTGGCGGGTCTCCCATTTAATCAGTCATTGCTCATATGAAAAGATTGGCCTAGCCATTATTTTGGATTCAACAAATGAAGTAGACGAAAACTGCGATTGTTTTGGGCCCAACTTCAAATTCACTTGCATCAATCTTCACGTGTGCTCAGCTTTTTTATCTTTTCTGGTGATCTGTTGCATTTTTACTGTTGGACTTTTGGCGAATTCGTGATCTGTATTTTACACCCTGTGACAAGGTAAAAGCCTCTTATTGTTTCATCACGTGATGAACCTTCGTTACTGTTTTATTTGCTATGAGCGTGTTCTTTTGTGATCTGAGATGTTTGTGAGAATGTAGAGCATATTATATTGCTAATTTTTTCTTTTATTGATTACTTTTCAACTATTAACGGAAACACTGTCCTTTTTAATCACTTTTGTCAGAAGTACTTATCAGTGTAATATCCAGTAAATATCAAATTCACGAATTTTCCGCAACAAACTCAACGAACTTGCCCTAAAAACACAATTCGTATGCTAGAACTAATCGGTCATTTACTTCGTTTGTTAGGAACATTAGTTGTTTCATAGTTTGAATGGAACAACTGGCAGTAGTTGAAGGATACGTCATTACTTGATGTGTAATGCATTGGCTTAGCTTGGATCTGTTTATTTATTTTTTTTTGATTCTCTGAGTCAATCTAGTCCTCCTCCTCCCCAATGGGTTGAATTAGAACTCTAAAAACTTAACAGCAATACCATTACATGAATTCAGAAAATATTTTCAACAGCTACTTTGGCTCCTGTAGTTTTCAAACACCAACTAGCTGATCTGTCGGTAGTTGCGCCAAGGATTTAGGTGGTGCTGTGCTTCTTCTTATTGCTCAAAGTATTCTTAAATTTTCAGTGTCAATGTGTTAGCCATTAAGGTAGTTGAAAGACGATATGAATTGGGCTGTGTGCGTGAACGTATGGCGCAATGATGTCTGTTTCATGCATGATCCATCGCCGGGGCGTATCAATTTCAGTGACAAAGGACCAAATGACCCTATTCCTTTTTCTCGTCTAGCGATTTTGTTAGTAGCCTCCCCTTGAGGTTACTAGTCATGACTCCAAATGTATTTCAAGAAATGTTTCTTACTCTCTTTGGCCTCGAGTATTTCTAATGACCGTGAATCTTATGACAGCTTTTATCATTCATTGGTTCTTTATAATGCTGGTAGTTACTTTGTTTTATAAACGTCCATGTATGTGATTTTCGTGGTTCAGAGAATAGCACCGTATAATAGGATTGTATACTGTACAAATCTGCAAGATTGTCGTTTCTACCAGATTCTTGGCTCCGTGGGAGAGCCAATCAACCCCTCGGCATGGAAGTGGTACTACGAGGTGGTGGGCGATAGTCGCTGCGCCATTGTGGACACCTTCTGGCAGACGGAGACCGGCGGTCATATGATTACAACGCTGCCTGGCGCAATGCCCATGCAACCCAGTTGCGCGGGTCGGCCCTTCTTTGGGGTGGATGCCCGCATCATCAAAAATGAGTTTGACACCGGTGGCAAAGCCGGTGTTATGAAAGATCTATCTGATGATAAGTGTGTGGAGGAAGGTTGTCTCGTGTTTGCTGCCCCATGGCCAGGCATCGCACGCACCATCTACGGTGACCACAAGCGGTTCGAAGATGTTTACTTCAAACGCTTTCCTGGCTACTTCATGAGTGGTGACGGAGCTGTTTTGGACTCAGAAAATAACTTCTGGATTACAGGTATTCACTAGTACACACTTTCTCCGTTGTTGCAATTGCGATCGTTTTATTCGTATTCGAGACGAATTCGATGCCACTCTTTGACTTTCATTCTGTAAGGATAACTCAGCCGTTTTATGTACCATCCTGCGGCACTAGATGTCTTTGCTGCTGTTTTTACGCATAAAGATGCACCCAAATGTATTGTTTAGACAACAATACTATCAATTTCTGTTTTTTGATCCTTATTTAATCTTATTTTATCTATTGAATTCAACTTGTGACTTCTCAAGAATGAAGTTTCCACTAAAGATAATATTTGCCCTTTCAACACATTTTCACCCATCACATTGTTAAATTGATATCTGACCCAAATTTACTATCTAGGTGCTAAATTTCGTTCTTTCAAGAGTAAATCAATTCTTATAGCACGCCCATTCTGTGATGAAGAGCATTTGCGGGACAGCTTATGCCAAATACACGCCCGTCGCTTGCAAATCTTTTTAATCACTTACTTTCCACTACCT